AATTCCCAGACAATACAGAGAAGTTCATAGAATTTGAGCTGGACCTAAATGATGTCCTTCAGGAGGTGCGCGTGGTGGCCACTGTGCCAGACCTGTACCACCTTCTGGTGGAGCTGAACGCTGTGCCGTCTTGGGCTGCTGGGACACGATAATACAGATGTGTCCGTGACTGTGGTCAGCTTACGTCAGCAGGTAACAGATACAGACACCCTCCGTGAGAACGAAGAGGGAGCAGAAGTTCTCCCTGATGCTCTCTGGTGGACGGACAGCTGGTAGCGCTGCTGGAGCAGAACCTGGCACACCTGGGTGAGTGTGTGTGGGAGGAGGTGGGCGGCGTCCACAATACTCTGGCTATTGTAGAAAAGGTGGCTGAGTTTCGGCCTGAGATGTGTACGGAGGCTGCCCAGCAGGGACTCCTGCAGTGGCTGGTGAAGAGGCGGAAGGCAAAAGTGCCTTTCAATGCCAACAGACTGCATTGCAGTGAAGTGCCGGCCATCCTGCTCCAGGACAACAATGATGAAAACGGAATTGCTTGGGGAGCTGGATGGAACCGATGCGCTTCTTCAGCAGGTGTCCGTGTCTAAAAGGCACAACCTTAGCAAGCTGAGAACAGGAGATGACGGCGCATCTGTTTGATCCACTGTTCGTGCCTGATGCTCAGTTCCAATCGTGAGTGCTTCCTAAAGGGCGAGGGCCTTCAACTGATGCATCTCATGCTCAGGGAAAAGAAGATTTCCCGGAGCAGTGCCCTGAAGGTGTTGGACCATGCCATGATTGGACCAGAGGGCACAGACAGTTGCCATACGCTCGTTGGCATTCTCGGCTTACGAACCATCTTTCCTCTCTTTATGAAACCTCCTAGGAAGATCAAGAAAGTGGGAACTGCTGAGAAGGAGCGTGAAGAGCTTGTCTGTTCAGTCCTGGCTTCCCTCCTGTGCAACCCGAGAGAGCAGCAGCGAACCCGGCTTCTGAATAAGTTCACTGAAAATGGCAGTGAGACGGTTGACAGACTCATGGAGCTGCACTGTAAATATCTGGGTGCAATGCAGGTGGCCGACAAGAAGACTGAAGGGGAAAAACGTGACACAGTCGGGCGTGGCGAGATCATGACAACGACCTGGAGGGTGAGTTCTACCCCTGGCACCTAGATGCAGGGCTCTTTGTTCTCCAGCACATCTGCGACATCACGGCGGAGATCTGCAAGGCCAGTGTCCCCCAGACTCTCCAGAGAGTTCACCAGATCCTAAACATGCGTGGAAGCTCCATCGAAATCGTCAGGCATATAGTCAAGGAGTACGCAGAGAGTAAAGGGGACAGGCAGAGCCCAGAGTTCTGTGAGACAGAGCAGAAGCACATCCTGGGCCTGCGGCAGAACTTCTAAAGGCCCTCGACCCTGTGTTGGGCTCGGCCAGCGTTCTTCCCACAAACTATTTTCATGTAGCTCTGTATGGCTCCAGATAAATTAAAGCTCGTTTTGGTAAAAATAAATAAATAAATAAAATAAAAACAGTGGGAGGCTGCAAACAGGAGGGTCACTATGAGTCCAAGCTGCATAGTGAGACGCTGTACCAAATATATAAATGAAAAACATTTAAAAATAAAAAAATAAAAGCAATGGGGCACCGAGGCACTAGCAGGCCCCTACATGGCGCGCTGTAGGTACTTTTTTGCCCCTAACACACAATATCTAACTACTTAAAGGAGGAAAGGCTATTTTGGCTGACAGCCTGTAGAAGCTCCAGTCGATAGTCAACTAGTTGCAAGGCAGGATGGCATGGCAGAGGTGCTGTCAGAAGAGAGACAGCTCATGGCATGGCAGGCAGGAAGCAGAGATCAAGGGAGGAAGGGAGGAGGGCAGCAGGCCCCAGCCACGCCCCCAGTGACCACCTTCTGCAGCCAGGACCGAGCGTCCAGTGTCACACTGAGCTGTAAACCCACAGGAGACCAATCCACAGGTGAACATCTGTGATACAGTCACCTCTAAAAAGCCCCACATATGAACACATGAGGCGTTGGGCTTGTCTAGATATAAACCAAAGCGTGGGATACAAAATCCACATACAAAAATCACTAGCCTTTTGAAAAATACATATGCTGATTTCAAGACATTCTTGAAAGCCATTATAATTAAAATGGCATAATATTGCCAGAAAAACATGCACATCTATGTTCAAGTTCTTCTGGACAAAGGGGCCAGAAACAGAGTAGAGGAAGGACAGTTTCTTTAATAAGTGGTGCTAGAATAGGCCATCGATAGGTAAAAGGCGGAACTTGATTCTGTCTCTTACTTTGTATGTTAAAACTAACTCACAGTGGCCCAAAGGCCGAGAGAGAAGACTTGGAACTTTGGACTCTGGAAGAACTAGGAGAATACCCTCAGGCTTTGAACTTGACAATGATTTTCTGACTGGACCCCAAAAACACAAGAAAGAAAAGTGCAAATTGAGAAGTTTTAAGATTACATCAAGCCAAAAAACTTGTGCACATCATGAAAACAGAGTTAAGGTGATTCTATATACAGAAAAACAGGGCCGGCCAAATAGCTCAGTGGATTAAAGCGCCTGCTTAGGCAGATGCAGCAGCTAGGGTTTGATCCCCAGTGTGCCATGCTGGCCCCACCCCTACGGGTGTGCTGATGTGCTGAGAAGGCAATTGAGACTGGGCGTGGTAGTGCACACCTGTAATCCCAGCTCATGGGAGGCTGAACACAGGTGGATTATTACAAGTCTGATCTACATAATGAGACTCTGTAGACCCTGTACTAAAATACACACACACATACACACACACACACACACACACACACAAAGAAAAACAATGGGAGAAAGTATTTGTCAGCTATTTATCTAAATCTAAAATATATAGCAAACTCAAAGCTTAATTTAAAAAGCAATCCTACTAGAATGGGCACATGATTTGAATACACACTTCTCACAAAAAACATTGTCAAAAATTTTAAGAAAATGCTCAATTTCATTAGCAATCAGGAAAATGTAAGTCAGAACTACAATGAAAAGCCAAGCCACATGGCTAAAGCTCAGCCATGGAGCTTGGTCCCAAGAAGCATCTGAAGGTGAGTGGCAGCTGCAAGGCACTGGGTGCTGGATAAGCTGAGCAGTGTGTTTGCTCCTCATCCATGCACTGGTCCCTGAAAGCTGAGAATGGCTGTCATCTTCCTGAGGAACAGACTCAAGTCTGCCCTGATGGGAGATGAAGTAAAGAAGATTTGCATGCAGCACTTCATTAAGATTGTCAGCAAAGTCTGACCTGATATAACCTGCCCTGCCAGCTTTAGGGATGTCCTCAGCATCGATGAGAAGGAAAGAATTTCCATCCGATCTGTGACACCAAGGATCACCTTGCTATTCCTTGTATTACATCTGAGGAAGCCAAGTACAAGATGTTCAAAGTGAGGAAGATCTTTGTGGGCACAAAAGGGCTCCTTCATCTGGTGACCCACGATGCTCACACCATTTGCTACCCTGACTCCCTCATCAAGGTCAGTGACACCATCCAGATTGATTTGGAGTCTGGAAAGATTGCTGATTTCATCAAGCTTGACACTGGTAACCTGTGTGGTGGTTGGAGGTGCTAATTTGGGAAGACTGGTATGACCACCAACAGGGAGAATCATCCTGGCTTTTTTGATGCGGTTCACATGAAAGATGCAGCAGCCTTGCCACCCGCTCTCCAACACTTTCATCATTAGCAAAGGCAAGAAGCCCTAGATTTCTCTTCCACAAGGAAAAGGAATCCACCCCACCATTGCTGAAGACAGAGAGAAGAGGCTGGTGACCAACCAGAGCATTGGGTGAGATGGTTTCTAGATGATGTGTTGGGGAGGTCTCTGTGCCTAATTAACAATAATAGAGCATGACTTAAAAAAGAAAAACCATATCATCCTGTCATAATGGCTATTATAAAAAATAACAAATAACAAATGTTATCACAGATGTGGAAAAAAAGAACTTCTATTTCCTGTTGGTGGGAATGCAAATTAGCATATTCACTATGGAAACCAACATGGAGTTACCTCAAAAAACTACAAGTAGTGTAACATGTGCTTCAGCTAGCTGACTTCTGCATACATAGCCAAAGAAAATGAAAACTGCCTACCAAAGTGATGCCTGTACACCATGTTTATTAGGGAAACTCTCAGTAGCTAAGGTACAGCATCTTAGGTGCCTGTAAGACATAAATAGAGGGCTGGGGAGATGACTCAGTGGAATCAGCGCTTCCCTGGCAAGTGCAAGGGCCTGAGTTCAATCCCCGGTTCCATCAAAAGCAAACAACAACAAAAAAGACATAAATGGAAAAAGAAAAGGTGCTGCTCATACACATGAAGTGTTGGCGAGCCATCAGGAAGCATGAAATCTTGCCCTTTGCAGCCAAGTGGTTGGGGCTGGAAACCATTAGATAAGTGAAAGGAGTAGACACTGATATCTGCTTGTTCTCTTTCGTAGTGGAAAAGAGAAAACGTTGACCTTGGACTAGATCAGGGATGACTAGATTTTGTGGGGTGTGTGTAGGGGAGATACTGCATTTGCTTTTTGCACTCTACTCCACACTGAGCCTCACTGGTATGCGCAGCTGACACATCAAGTGAAAATGTAGCATCTTCTGCTCCACAGCACACTAATTTGGAAGCTTGTATGGAAAAGACGAGGCCGTTGTACAATTTATCTTTCCTTTGTACTTGTGAAACTCATTCCCATACAGCCCAAGGACCTGCCCACCTGTTCAGGACCACTAGCACTTTCGCTGACACTGAGATGCCCATTACTTCCGCAGCGCCTACCTTGACACTGCTCTTCCCTCTGACCATCGTGGTAGCTCGGCAAACTGCCTGCTCTTCTAAACAGATGTCACTTCTAAGCCTCGAGTGTCAGACGCTGGATGTCAAACACCAGTGGAACTTGTAAATTGACATGGAATAAGAGAAGCCTGTATGTCAGGATTTAAACTAGAGATTTCTTTTACAAGCAGGAAGTTGTAGAATGATTTGAATTTATTTTAAGATAAATGGTGACAAGAGGTCATGAGTCCTGTGTGCCGGCCTGCATGCTGACCATGGAGAAGTAGATGCCTCTCTGCGCCAGCAGCTGCTGGTGGGTACCCTGCTCCCTGACCTTGCCATTCTGAACCACCACGATGACGTCCGCACTGTGCACGGTGGCCAGGCGGTGCGCGATCACGATGCAGGTGCGGCCTTTCCTGGCTTGGTCCAGGGCTTCTTGGACCACCTGTGGAGAGATCAGATGGAAGATGCAGCCTGAAAATTGTACAACAGGTTTTAGGATGAAGGGAAATTGACAAGATTTACCATCCTGGTGAGTTATTTAAATTTGTAATCACGTCTCTGACTTGACAACTGTGTTTGATATAACTGATGTAATCTTCCTGTGATTGTTTTGCTCTTTAATTCTAGTACAAATGGAGTCTCATGGCATCAACAATTTTCATAAGCACTGACCAGATAGCTTAGTGGATTAAAGTGCCTGCTTAGGCAGATGCAGGAACCAGGGTTTGATCTCTGGCTTGCTGTGCCAGCCCCACCCCTGGGGCGCACTGAGATGGCAACTGAAACTGGGTGTGGTGGTACGTGCCTGTAATCCCAGCACTTGGGAGGCTGAAAACAGAAGGATCACTGTGAATCCAATCTGTGTAGTGAGACCCTGTAGACCTTGTACTAAATACATAAAAAACCAATAATTTTTATAAGTATTTATGTGTTCAAACTACTCACCAAACTAATGAAGTAATTGTTTTACTTAATTCCTTTTTGAGTATTTTACTTTTTCATGATTACATTTAATGTGCTGCAAATGCAAGTTACATAGCTTTTTTCTTTTGAATGCTCATTTTCCATGTATGAACGTAAAATGTGATAATTCAGAAAATTTGGAACAGAACACATTGTTACTTCAGAAAAACCGCCCCTTCAGCTAACATTTAACATCTACCCCTCTCCACCCAGTTTCACTCATTGGTTTTTAAGGGACAGCAGCAGCCTCTGGACATGGTGGAATCAGACCTTTTCGCTCTCGGTGTCCAGCGCCGAGGTGGCCTCGTCCAGCAGCAGGATTCGCGGCTGCCTGACCAGAGCTCGGGCGATCGCAATCCTCTGCTTCTGCCCACCAGAGAGCTGAGTCCCCTTGTCGCCCACACGCGTCTTGTATTTCTGCAGGGAGCAAGGAGAGTCAGTGGGGCTCTGGCCCAAGAGAGTCCTTCACTGTGTAGCGTAGTGCTCTCACGCACAGCTGACAGTTTTGTTTGCAAGAAAATCATTAGAGGCAAGAGAAGGTTCAAAGTGCGTCCAGCAGCGCGCTCCGTAGCGCTGTTGGGCGTGCCCAGTACTGGGGTACTCCCTGTGGGCTAGTTCCTCCAGCACCAAAATCTCATAGGATTTCTGTAAGTGGGAGTTCATTAATTTCTGCACACCAAGAAGGAAAGTTACAGGATATAGTGAGATGTGCATATTTTTAGGTAGCATAGAAATAGTATCCTCCAGGGCCTGCACGGAATCCTGTGACAGCAGCTTATCTGCCTCATCCAATACCGTCATCACTTGATGTGACCAGCCTTTGCTACTCTTTTCTTGAGGAGATCTGCATTCTGCCAGGGATAGTGCTGAACTCGTGTGTTGCGTCATGACGTCTCATCGTCCAGCCTCTAAACTGGTTCCTGCCTGGGTCCCTGTCACCTTAGCTTCTCTCAGATGTTTGTGAACCTGCACGCAAATTTGACTGATCTTCCCACCCTTTAGGGAATGATCGCCGTTGCTTGTATGCAGTCCAGCATTCGAGGGAGGGAAAGAGGCAGGCTCAGCTCTGGTCCATGCCAGGGTTTACTCTAGCTAAGAGAGCGCCATCAGAGAAGGCAGTGGAAGTGTTCTCTTCCTGATGGTAAATGGCTTTTCCCAGCCTACTAAAAAATTATCAATACTCTCATTTCAAACAGCAGTCTTCAAACACATTTCCTTTTTTTGGCATTCACATCGGAAGTTTTGATTCTTAGATGCTTTTCCCGTCGTCACCAGGTTTGACTGTAACAGTTGCACTTCAGGCTTGCCGCCCAGTGCCGTCACTGTCTGTATGGTGTTTTTCAGGGGGTCCTCTCTTGCTATCTCTGCGTGCCCTCCTTCTGGGGCCACCACTGGGCTGTGCTGGGCCCTTGGTTGCCACTGGGATTGAACCAACCCATTACAACAGGGTTCTCTGTTCAGGCCAGGCTTGTGCTTTGTTAACTGCAAAGGTGGTTCTTTCAATCTTCAGAACATTTTAAAGTGAAAAGAAAAATGTAATAACAGTTCATTAGGCTCTCCAAAACAAGAGAAAAAGAGGTTTTGCTCAATGAGTCCTTTATTCTAGTGCAGGCAAGCACCTATCTATGAGTGGTAGGCAGCAGTAACATGCTCTCATGCACCAAACCAGCTTTCGGTTTTAGGAAGTTCTCTAGAAGAATTCACTCACTTTAGTCTCTACTGCCTCCTGCTCTTGTGCCAAAGTCACCACCAGGCCGAGGTAACTTGGTTCATCTTTATATAACGTTTTTACAATAGAAAATTGTATAAATGAGGAACAGATTAGTGGTCATCTGAGGCTGGGGAGGAGGAGGACAGAGGAAGGTGCAGTGTGGACACAGCCTGCCTGTGGTGCCCACCTGGGAGTCAGTACCGCAGCACAGCTGTATGGAGCCAGAGGCGCCCTGCAGCAGAGCATGCGTAAGGTCTCCCAAACCTCGTGCTCTGAGGACTTGGGCCGGATGTGGTGGGGCTCCGAGGCAGGATCTGGAGAAGGGACCCAACCACAGGGCTCTGACTCCTTGAGCAGGGTGGTTCTCCGATAATCTGGTGGCATTACCGGTAGGTGACAGGAGGGAGGACGCAGGAGGTGGGCTAAGTAAGGGAGTGGTTGGGTACCTTCTCGAGGGCTGGGTCTGGTCCCCCTGGCTTCCTCTCTGCTCTTTCCCCACTCTGCTTCCTGTGGCCCAGAGGCGAAAGCCCTGCTCTGCCACGACCTCTGCTGGGCTGCCGTGTCCCACCTTAGGTCACTGCAGCGACGGTGGCCTGGAACCTTCGAAATGGAGCCACAGCACACACTTTCTCCTTTCAGTTATGCAGGTCAGGTATGCTGCAACAGTGATGGGGAGCCCCTCCCTGCACCAGCAAGGCCAAGTAAAGCTGGTGACATCTGAATGAAGGCAGAGGATTATGCCAGTGCTGCGGGACAGCTGCAACATCGTATGGTAGTTTTGGAAGATGGGGACATGCAGGTAAAGGATATGTCAGATCTTTGTATGCCTCATGATTGCATGTGAGTCTATAATTACCTCAGCACAGAAGTTTAAATTTGGAAAAGCAGCATACGGCTAGCCCAGGCATGACTGGGGTCCAGCTGAACCTGCCACTGTATCTGCAGCGGAGGTGCACACGTGGGGTTTCTTGTCCCATTTGGCTCTCTCTACACCATGTCCTGCTGTGGGCAGGTAAGCAAGTCTGGCACCCTGAGGTAGCTTTCAAGGCCACATGCTAATAAATAAAGGTGTTCACTCTGTTTCAAGACTGTTGGTAAAACTTTGGGAGTCGGTTTGGGGATAAAAACTAGGGTCTGTCCTGCTTTCAGCTAAGAAGCTCCTGGCTGGCCAGCTGAGATGACCGGAGCCCACGGTCCAGGAGCCTCCTGGATGATCACACGAGTCAGCTTCAATTTCAAGTGCAGCCTGACTCTGAGGAGTACTGAACAAAGGTGCGCACAGTCTGCAGACCTGTGCCCTGTCCTCCAGGACTGCACTGCGGACAGGTGGTGGACATGGTCCTCTGGCGGGGTTTCTGTCGGACCCTGTCAGGACCGAACCATGTCCCCTGTGTTGGAATGGAGTGCGGCCAGCATTCAGGATTGTGTTGGCCTAGTGTAGCCTCATACACTCACTTCAGTTACCTCTCACACCTGGCAGTGGGCTCTACACATTGAGCCCTTCAGGGGTTCACATCACAGACTGTGGGCCCGAATTAGTAACAAAAAAGAAAATGGCAGTATAATTTTGGAGGAAAATTACTCCGTTCCATATTTCATCCATGAAAACCTGCAATATGAGCAGTTTCGAGAATCAAGAGGAAGTGCAAACCCCTGTGAAAGTCTTGTGTCGGGTGTGTCTGGTGCTTGTGCTGGCAGCCCTAATCTCAGCATAGCTTGTCATAACAAAATTAAATCCTGAAAACAAGATCCTCCAATCAACTCACATAGGGCAGCGTCTCGATGAACTGGTGGATGTTAGCCTCCTTTGCGGCCCTCACAATCTCCTCCTGGGTCACTGTCCGGCTATTGTCCCCATAGGCAATGTTCTCCTCAATGCTGCAGTCAAACAGGACCGGCTCCTGGGACACGATGCCCAGCTGGGCTCGCAGCCACTGCACATTTAGTTTCTTTGCTTCCTGACCATCCAGAAGCTGAAAACCAAAGTCCACAAACTATTAAGAGGCTTCACCAGAGGAAAGAAAAGCCCCTCTACGAGCGCCACTAGGTCGGCAGAACGCTGCACAGGGCATCGCAGCAGGCACAAAGCTCTGAGCCTCAAGCCTCAGTCTGCCACTGTGCCAGCCAGCTTCCTGTCCCAGGGATGCAGCCTGGCATCACACTGCAAGGACAGGTGTGGTCCGGCTCCCTGTTCCAGGAATCCCATCCCTTGTCTGCTGGCTCCAGGACAGACACTGTAGGGTGGAGCAGAGTTGCTGAGGTCATGGCGGCCAGGAGGAGAGTACAGACAGGCTCCCGAGAGGAAGGTGCAGCGGCCAGGGATAGATCTGGAGCCAGGCCTCCATGACCTGTCTACACTGCTTTATTAACTTGCTGGTGTTTCTTTTTTATTCTTTAAAAATCTGCTTGTCTGCAGCACATGACAGTCATGCCCACTCTGGGGAGCTCGTACATATTCACAGTGCTCAAGCTGACCTGCCATGTGAACCATCATAGTGCTGACAGGCCACATGGCCCACAGGATGTACACTGATGATACAGATTTGTCCCTGCTGGTCTCTCTATGTGCCTCTCTGTCCCTATCTGCCCTCTACCCTCTGCCTTTAGGAGTCTGTGTCGGTGTCCCAGCCCAACCCTCAGCCTGGCACCATCCATTCCCCCTGGGCACACCTGGATTGGCAGCAGGGGCAGATTCTGAAAGCCAGCAACCTGCCCTACTCCCCTTCCCCAAGAGCTGTGGTCCTGAGCATCTCCCACTTGGGTGACTGCCGGGTTGTGCAGGCTCCCCAGTGAGGCGATGGTGCCACCCCACGGGAATGGCAGACGCAGTCATTATTGGTTACATCTAGAATCAGTGATGAAAACCACATGAGAAGAACAGGAAAGGCTCGAGGTGGAGGGCCAAAAACAGCAGGGGCTCCAGGTTAGAGGTCAGCAGAGCAGAAGGCAGCTGGGGTCGCAAGACACAGGCAGGCGCATGCTCTGCTTTGCATCCAGCAGGGTCTAGGGTGGACTCAGGTCCTACAAGCCCTGCTCTTCTAATTGAGAACTGCCAACTTCTCCTTCGGATGGCACTAAGGGCAAGAGCTGCACGGAAAGTGAAAAGCTACAAGGGCGGTGTCTTCTAGAGAGCTGTTTGTGTGCTTGTGGTGTTAATTGTTTTTGCTTTACTTGCTACAAACAAGTGAGTTTTTGCTTAGGATGATCTGCCCCATGGACGGTGGGGGTCAAGCCAGTATTTTCTGAGCTAGACAAAGTTGCAGGCATCCTGCGCTGTGGTCCTCATATGTTTGTCTGATGCGGATGCCAGTTGGGGTCTGTAAAAGGTGATCACCATGTCCAACAGCATCACAGGTTCTCATCTGTCTAGCTCTTTCCCTTGTGAACAGACTGGCTGGCCACATGAGGCAGTAAATGTCAGTTTGCTAAGAACACGTGCTCACCACCGCTCCGGCCATGGGGTCGTAGAAGCGCTCAAGGAGCTGTACCACTGTGCTCTTCCCACAGCCGCTGCTGCCCACCAGGGCCAGGGTCTGGCCCCTCTTCACCTCGAGGCTCAGCCCTCGAAGCACAGGCACGGTTGGCCGAGTGGGGTAGTTGAACACAACTTCATTAAATTTTACATTTCCTTCAAAGTTATCCTAAAATGTATATATTTTTATTATTATTGATCTAATAAATATTTGATTATGAAGTATTAATTTTTAGGGAAACTTTACCAAAAACTGTAGTAAGAAATACAAAATGAATATTCAGTATAGTAGTGACACTACTGATAGCAAACTGTCATTATATAAAATGAAGATGGGGCAGAGCATAGGTGACACTAGGTACAGACTCGTTACAGAGAGGTGTCATCTGGCCTCAACACCTGGTTTACCTCAGTAGGCATTAGTGTAGGCACCGCAGCAGCACCTCTCCCAGCAGCTGCAGTGGGCAGCCCTTGGCGCACGCCCAGAGCTCGCCTCTCACTCCTGGGACACAGCGATTTTCTCAGAACATGGAAAAGCTCATCAAGCTCTGGGAGGATTGTCCAGGCCCCAGTCTCTTTACCCACACTACTTCCTGATGTCAGACTGCACAGCAGCTTATATGGTACGAAGGACACTTGGATCTGAGTTTTAGCAACTTTGTAGACAGCAAAACACTGTGAAGAAAGAGGCCTTCTTACCAACTCTAACTCACTGAAATTATAAAACTAGTGAAGTCAAATTTCTAATTACATCAACATGACAATTCCATGCAAATACGTTCATATATAAATGACTAAAGTTTTGTTGAAACTGTTCAGTTCTAGTAGCCTGGTTTTACTGTAAAATTTTTTTTGACATGCTAAAATTCAGAACCCTTGAAAGTTCCTATGATGTTTTAAAATGCCAGGAAAGTTGGCCAAGTATGTTATGTAAATGTCATAAAATAAGGTAAGTGTATGTTTGTGTAATCATCCCCAATTTATCACATAGTTACCATCTAGCAGATTTCAAACATTTAGGGGAAAAAGTCAAGCCTCCATCAAGTGTAGAAAACTCACAGGCCGCAACCCCTGCTGACTATAGCTGTCCACCAAAGGCTGTCTCTCAAACAGCTGGAATAGGTGGGCTGCAGACAGCTTGGCTTTGGCGTAATCAGGAGCAAATGAACTTGTGTGTCCCAGAGCCAGAGCGCCAAACACAATCGCCGAGAACACCCTAGACAGAAGGAATTCAGAATCAGTTTATGTAAGTGCCCAGCTCCACGATGTCTGCACGTCCAAAGGCATTCTGCTCACTAGTATGTATCGGTGTGCTCACTAGTGTGTACTATTCTTTCACTAGTGTGTCTCAGCATGTTCACTAGTGTGCACCATTCTGTTCATTAGTGTGTACCATTCTCTCACTAGTATGTATCGTGTGCTCATTAGTGTGTACCATTCTGCTCACTAGTGTGTATCATGTGCTCATGTGCTCACTACTATGTACCATTTTCTTCCTTAATCATCTCTCATCACACATTTCTGAGACTCCAGTAAGGAAGGAACTCCAGGCCAGGCAAGACGCACTGCCCAGGTACATGTTTTCTCTGCAAACCTTCCACCTTCCACAGGAGCTGATAGCTTCCCGAGCTGTGCAACCTTCCAAAGTTTTCCACTTTCAGGAAGTGGCTGATCAGGAACCTGATTTGTGACTTCGACTAATTTTACTTGCCAGGTATAACCCTTTTAGGGGTAAGAGACGTGAAGCACAAAGTACTCACAGGCTTAGTCAGTGAAATTTAAAAATTTCTAGAAATGAATAGAAATGACAACACAGTCTATTCAAATCTGTGGAATACAGCAAAAGCAGTACTAAGAGAGAAATATATAGCAATGAGTGCCTACATCAGAAAAATAACCTATGGATACATCTTAAGAACTTACAAAAACAAACAAACAAAAAATAAAAAAACAGAAAACAAAACAAGCCTAGTACCAGAAAAGAATGAAAGATTAGACCAGAAAAAAATAGAAAGGATCAATAAAAAATAAAGTTGGCTCTTTAAAAAGATTCAAAACTGCAGATTGTTAGCTGGATCAACTATAACAAAAAGGGCCCAAATGCATAGAAATAAATGTGTAAAAGGAAACATTGTAATTGATACCACAGAAATTCAAAAGGTCATAGACAGTGTTTTGAAAAAAATATACGCCAATAAGCTGGAAAACCTAGAATAAATGAACAACTATGTGCTACCAAAATTGAACAAGAAGACATAAAATTCCTGAGTACATCAATAGTAAGTAATGAAACTGAATCTTCAATAAAAACTCTTGCAATAGAAGAAGGTCCAGACTGTCACTGCTGAATTTTACCAAACTTTAAAAAAATTAGTCTCAGTCATTCTTAAACTATTTAATAGAACTGAAAGACAGGAAACATTTTCAAACTCATTCTATGAGCATTATTTTATTAACAAAACTTGATAAGCACATATCACAATAAATAAATAAATAAATAGACATGAAGAGAAAAAAGAAAAATTATAGAACAATATCCATAATAAATATAGATACAAATATTCCCAATAAATTACTAGCAAATTGAATTCAACAGCACAGCAAAAAGATTATACCCACAGTCAAAGTGGTTTCATCCTAGGATAAAAAGATGGCTCAACATAAATAAATCAAGACACATAATACCCACTTCAATCAATGAAGGACAAAAGTTATATGATCATCTCAATAGGGGAAGAAGCATTTGATAAAATTAATCATTTCTTCAAAAAGTCCCTGAGCGAATTAGGTGTTAAAGGGTCGTACTTCAGCACTATAAATGCTCAGCATGACAAACCCACAGGCGGCATCACAGTGAATGGGGAAGAGCCGGACCCCGTCCTGTAATGCTGAGCAAGTCAAGGGTGCCCACGTCCTGTACTCCTGCTTACTTAAGTTCTAGACATTTCAGCTGGGGCAGTTAGGCCGGAGAGAAAGAGAAGATGCATAGATAGGAAGAGAGGAAGCCCAATTAGCCTTGTTGGCAGGATCCCATACACAGAAAAACTAAGGTCTCCACTAAGAGCATTAACTGATAAATCCTGAGTCACACACACACACACACACACACACACACACACACACACACACTTCAGTAGCTTTTTAAAGAATCAACTCTTAATTGACTGAGAAACAAATCATGAGAGCAATCCCATTCACACAGCTACAGTAGATGGTGCTGGGAGCACAGGATACCCACAGGCAGGCAACAGAGCCGACCCTCGCTAGCTCTTAGTTCCTAGAAAAGCTACCTCACACTGGCTCAGAGACCTAGAGCAAGGACCTGGGACTCTACAGCTACTGGAAGAAACCAGGGGAGAGAAACTTCAAGACACTGGTACAGGCAATACTTCTCTGGCTAAGACCCCAAAGCCCGGGAAACAAAAGGAAAAGTGTTGGGAGCCCCAGGAAGCTAGGAAATTGATCACGTGTATAGAGGGACTGGGCCTCAGGGTCTAAAGCAAGCAAGCTACGCAGGTCCTGCGGAAAACATCTTGTCTGGCTCAGGTCAGCTATGAGCCACTAGGCAACCTTGTGACACGTGATACTAACTTTGCAAAAGTACAAATACAGGATCTGTTTTGCTGTGCATTGGGTTAGTCTTGCCCATCAGGAAGACTAGTGACCACTAGCCCAGCTTTCATCTTCTTGTCTGTCTGTCTCATTTCTGCTGCTGTGTCTCCCCAGGTAGAACCATTGGCAATACGACCAACGGATCCCTACAAAAAATTAGACAGAGGGAGTTACACTGAACTAAAAAGATTTTGGACAACAAAGGGAACAGCTGACAGAGTGAAGAGGCAGCCTATAGGATGGCAATACATGTTTGCCAACTAGTCACCTGATCTGATGGTACTTAAAAAGCTTAATTTAAAAATGAGCTATCCAGTTTTTAAATGAGTAAATGATCATAATAGTTCTGAAAAGAAGAAATACAAACGACTGGCAAATGTGTGAAACATCATCAACAAAATGCTGGTGAGGGCGTGCAGAAAAAGGGCTCTTCTGCACTGTGGCTGGAATATAAATTAGTACAGACACTAAAGAAACACGGAGGTCCTCAGGAAACTGGCTGGATCTGCCATGTGACTGCGGTGGCCACTACTGAGTATATGCGCATGGCAGTGAGGCCACCGTGTTAGAGGGACACCTTCGTGAGCACAGCAGAGGGGACAGCTGACAGGGTGAAGAGGCAGCCAATAGGGTGCAGGCACCTGTTTGAACGCAAAGGGAAGGGATGGACTCAGCCTCAGGACCCAAGCACAGAGCACTGCTGCAGAGGGGTGCTCCGCCCTTGTCAGGCCACGGTGTGGCTGCTGATGGCTGCACGCTCACCCCTCTGCTTGAGTGCACAGTCCTCATCGGCTTTCTCCCATTATCAGTGCACGTTTGCGACCCATGGTGACCACCTTCAGCTCAGGGTGTGACAGGCACACAGATCCGGTTCCAGTTGCTCCTGGCCCCGCCCTGCACTCACTGAGGTCTGCAGAGGACAGCGCTCCTGTGCCTCACCGGGGTCACACGCACAGCTGGAGCTCTGCTCGTAATCTCTTTCACAGGCTCCACTGCTGTTGGTTCACAAGGGGACGAGACTGTGCTTGGACTGGTGACAAGGTCAGATTTACATTTCTGCCAGGTGACTCTCTGACCTGACCTCATCTTTGGACAAGTGAGCTTTTTCTTACTCCAAACATTTGCATAAATAAGCCTACTGAAACTGCATGATAGGGTTATTATAGACTCATCTTACTATTTGAAAGCTACTTACAGAATAACATCCCTGAAGCGCATGTGTCCATTCACGATGAGATAGGCCCCGAACCGAAAGCAGCCGGCATAGGAGAAGTACATAAATGCTTGCGAGACACTAAATGTGATCCCGTACATGTGCGCCTTCCTCACTGAGTTCCTGGAAAGCAAATCAGCATGCTCACACTCAGGTATCAGCCACTCTCAGCTTACGCCGTGCAAGGAGCACAGCCTATAACGCGGGCTTCACCTCTACCTAAGCTAAGTTAGTTCGGTTAAGACTTCCATCGCGAGAGGCATGCGTCTTCCGGTGTGTGCCAGAGCTACTCACTGTCAAGCAAACTTTTGTGAACTGAGTACAGAGAAATGACTCAGACACTGAGCTCAGGCGGTCTTGGCAAACGGTTTCTGATATTACTGCTTCAGGCTTCATCCGCTGACTCCGACGCCTAAGCCCTCCATGTAGATATGGCCCTTGCATCAAAAACACCGAGCATGCCACGGAGCTAAAGCAGGAATCGTCTCAGTGCGCTCACTCTTGCTGCCGTGACCTGGTCTCCTGTGCCTAGATGTAGTTCACAAACCTTGGGCTACTGTGTGGACACAGCACACACCAGAGGTCCTTCCCCAAGTGTGGTCTGACAGGCCCCAGACTTGGCTTGCTCAGTGTCACCTCTAATCAGCACCCTGCCACACTTTATTTGGCTTCTAAGTCCACCAAAAGATTCCAAATTTATTTATTCACAAATTAGAAGAAGATATTTGATAAGGAAAAAAATCAGTATTACTGATTCGGATGATATAAGTTAGGTGCCGTGACCACAGTTTTACAATACTTACCATTACTGAACAATTTACAAGGCCACTGAATCTTTAAATTATGACCAAGTGATCTGCTTCAGCTTTTTATTCCTTGTTAATTTCTTTAAGTGCAAAATAAACCATAAAGCCACCAGTGATTGCATCATGCACACCCCCATACGAAAGAGGAAAGAGACAAAGAAAATGGTCTGACTGCTTCGCAGTAGGAGCTCACCTGAGTCACCAGGTGGTTGCCTGCACCAATGACCAATTCCTGTGGAATCCTGTACCTTTAGCTTTATCAACCTACCTTACTTCCTTTTTCACTTTTTCCACTTTTCCACAGATGATACAGATTAATGGGTTTATTTATGTTGACAGGCCCTCACATACCTTGTGTTGGCCACCCCCTCCCCTCGGCCCCTTCCATGCTCAGCACGCAGACGGGGTATGTGCCGTGTGTGATTCTGTCCACACCCGACCCCTGCACTCACCCGACAGCCCTCCTCATTACCCTTCTTTTTTTCTTTTATGTTTTTTTTTAAAGAGATGCAAATGTCTAACCCTGTGGTTGTTCTCTGTGAGAAGACCACTGAAGAAAGGCCAGCCTTGTGGCTATAGTCTTTGCCGCAGTTGACTATCTTTGGGGAACAACAACAGCCTTGGGAAGGCTCTAGGTTCTCACAATCCACCCATTACCTGTAAGGCCCGTCCAATTTGGCAACATACATTGATTCAAATTTTCTTTCCTGGGTTAAGGACACAACTGTCCTAATATTTTCTATTGCTTCGGTTGCAATCTGTAATAGAACAGACTTTCATCAGAAGTGGCTCTTCTATTTCTGAAATGATAAAGAATGTTAAGGCTTGGGGCTCTGTCAAAAGTACCCAGAAGGAGCTGGTGACAAGCTTGTAATTGTGAACTCTGGGAGGCTAAAGCAGGAGAATCACCCAGATCCTGGCTGGGGTGCTTTAGGGACCCTGTCTCACAATAAAAAAGTTTTAAGAATAGGTCAGGGATGTAGCTCAGTGAAAAGACCCAGGATTCAATCTCCAGCATGGCCAAAGGGGAGAAAAAAGTGTCCTGAAGGTTATACGGATGGCATTTAGATTGTTCCAGTTAAAGTCAAGAAGCGTTCTTCCAACTGGCCCAGACAGAGCGAGTCCATGCAGTGCTGCTCTCCTCTGGGTGAGTCCTGTCTGGGGAGGGGAGGGTGGGCGGGGCAGGGCAGGGTGCTGTGTGGGAACCACCAGGCCGCAATTCCTTCCTGCTCCCCAGAGATGCCAGGCCTTTGTGCACTGAGGATGCCTGCCTTGCTTGGAGAAGCTGTGCAGGCCGAAGGAGACCCAGCTGCTGGCCACGGGGCTCTGCCTCAAAGTCCTGGCTCAGTGAGGACCCTTGGCTGAGCAGCTTCAGCCTGCCTCACTTCCTAGACCTGGGGGAGGGCATGGACAGGAGACTGTCAGAGGGGATGTTACCACATGGGGCCGCACTGTGTGGGCCCTGGTCTGAACAGGAAGCATTGCAGAGGCCCAGGACAGCAGAGCTTGGCAGCTGGGCAGGTCCTGTGAGCCAACGCTGAGCCCTCTGACTCCTCGTCCAAGAAGCCCTCTTCACCCACACCAGCCAGAACACTCTGGGGAGCACCAGCGGGCCTTGCCGAGAGACTGCCTTTGTGGCCCCAGCTCTTCCTCCAGCAGCATAGAAGCACATCTCGGCTTCATGCTTTTATCAGCTCTAAGACTTTGATCTCAGTCTCTATAATGAGGTGAAAGCAAGACACTAGATTCCTCAAACTGAGGTGGTTTTTTTTTTTTTTTGGTATCATGGATTGAACTCAGGACCTTGTGCTTGCCAGGAAGGCATTTATGCTGCTGAGCTATATCCCCGGCAAGCTTTTTATCTTTATTATAAATAAAAATTAAAACCTAACAGATAGCAATAAGCAGAATGTCTTATTGATTGAAGCAGTCACCCAGCCTCATGCGGCCTGGGGATGTGGGGAAGTAAGTATTCCTGCCCTACTACTGCAGGGCCAGGAGAAGTCTGTTCCGTCTGAAGCTCTGGTCAGTGAGTACCAGCATGAGGTCTCCCCAGTGGACCTCGCTAGCCTGGCTTCCTGTTCTGTGGGCAGCTCTGGGATGCGGGCCCCTGTCTCGGCCACAGGGCCTGAGTCTAGAGAGTTATGGAAAGTGTGGGCCACTCCACTGACATGGGTCGTAGGAACCCAGGAACAACAGATGTGCATGGTTGTGTTAGTTCCAATTCCATTCAGAGTGTCATGTCACAGGTATGAATGAGACTGTGGGTGCAACAGCTTTCAGAACCAACACCCCCAGTGCAAGCCCTTTAGGGAAAATTGAAGCGGGCACATCCCAAGTCCTGATATGTGTTAGCCATAATTAACCTGCACTCACGTAAATGAGTATGACACAGGAGTTTCCAGAACCTTCCTTCTAACCTGTGTTCTCTCAGGTAATCAACAGTGGGCTGAGCAACAAAATTGAACTATGGTAGAATTGTTGGTAACTAACATTTAAAGTTTCTAATCTCATTATGCATCCTGTTAGATAAGGTGGCTACTTATGACTTAGCCTACAGTAACGGCTTAGGAGGACATTGGTAGAGAGTGGGGGTGGGCAGCTCTCAGCATCCACACTGTGAAGGGCAGATCAAGCCCACAGCCGGGCTTTCTGCGGCTCGGTTCCCAGTACTGCTTAATTCCGACTCCTTTCCCAGTCAGCAAATCCTGACAGCTTTGCAGCAGCACTGTAAACCATTCTGAGAGAATTAAGGCTATTTTCTGACTAGAGTCCAGAGTTCTCTTCTGTGCAATGTGCCTTAGCAAAGCTTGCTTTACTCGGACGGTTCTCCCTTCTGAAGAATGGAAAGAACAGGAAGGGTGGACACAAGGTGGGCACTGTTTTCAGTGGTGGGCCAGCCGGAACATTGCAGGGGCCCTCGGAGCCACCACCGTGGCCAGAGAGAGTGGCTGGGAGAGGAGTCACCAGGAGCGGGTGAAGGGCAGCCACCAGGTTGTCATTTTATCTTGTCACCACTTCCATGCCTCTGAGTGTATTGCTTTCTCCCTGAGGGCAGGGACGCTGTCCCTCCTGCCTCCCCAAACTGTAATGAAGGCTGTGGCAGTGACTTCTGTGAAAGGGCTTTGAGTGTGGGTTATGGAAACTACATTAATGTTCAACACTTCAGTGCAGGATAGTATTTACAACTAAGAATTAAAATGTTTGTGATCTTAATCCTCACCTGAATATTTAAATTAAACACTGAATATTTAAATATTAAAAAAATACACATTTAAATAAAGATTTAGTCACATTTAAACACTTGTAAAGAGGTGCAAGCTCTGGACCCAGGCTTGGACTTGAATCCCAGCCACCCCTGCTATTCCCAGCATCTTCCTTTGTGGGCGAGCACTCTGCCACTGAGCCGCACCCCAGCCCCTTGGCTCCTCATTTGTGGAAGCAGGCTGGCATCGCCTGCTGCTTAGCATTGCCAAGACATTGGGACATTACCGCCATCTGGTGGCTGCCAACCTTAAAGCTAAAATAACAGGCAAGAAGGAAAGATTTTCTCAAAGCAGGCACACAACTGCATGAGAACAAGGCTCTACTGTTTTCTGCCCTGAGATCTCCTAGTCTGTAAAGTAGGGCAACTTTGTTTTAAGAACGGCACCAGGATATTGAAGTGAAATGCGTTCTGAGCGCTTTAGAATGACGACATGGCAAGTGCTCCCCTAGCCTAAGCGCTTCACATTAGCCACCCGCCTCCAAGCTGAAGGCGTAGTACTGTGGTAAGCTGCCTCCTGCGGAGCGGTGATCAGGAGCTTTTGTGAGCTCAACCCGCAAAGTGCCTGCTGTGACCATCCAGATAAGGACGCCTCTACTCCCTGAGGCTTTCTGCAACCCACCTTGCCCGCCGTTTCCAGCTCTTTCTTATCTCTTTTGGCATTTCCAGCCAACATTTTCATTTCAACAATTCCCGATACAGCAATAAATGGAACGACTGCTAACAGCAAGAGAGTTAGCTGCCAGCCGTAGATGAAGGAGATGATGATGCCCGTTCCGAGGTTCGCGACGTTCTGTGCAATCAGAGCCAGCCTGGTGCCCGTGGCCTAGAAGAGAGACAGGTGCGCCGCTGTGCGTGGAGCTCGTGGCCGCATCACACTGGAGATGATGCAGTCTCGGGCTTCTGGGTCAGCAGGATGCCAGTTTCACCCTCTCTGCTGTGACCCACATAGCCCACAGCTGCTTCACTGTGTCTTTAGCTCTCCTTCCTCTGCTGCCCACAGGGCTGACAGCAGAGCCAAGCATGGGGTTGCTCTGCTCTGCTCTGCGTGGCTGGGGTGGCAAACACATGTTGACAAAGATGGTGTGAAGAGGAAAGCAGTACCACAGTACTCCACTAATCTCAAAGGCCAGGCTGTCTAATAGGTCAGCAGACTAAAGCGCTTGCTTAGGCAGGGTGCAGCGGCCAGGGTTTGATCCCTGGTGTTCCGCACCAACCCCACCTGCGGTGTGTGCTGAGCTGGCAGTTGAGACTGGGCATGGTGGTGTGCTCCTGTAATCCCAGCATTTGGGAGGCTGAAAACAGGAGAATCACTATGAGTCTGATCTATGTAGTGAGACCCTGGAGACCCTGTCCTAAATACAGAAAAAAAAAAAAAGAAAAAGAAAAAGAACTTAATCTCAAAGGCCATTTCTCCAAATGTGGCACATGGAAACTGACACCCCAAGACTACGTTACAGTGTCCTCACCCCAGACACCATCGCCAAAAGCACACCTAGGCTGGAGTAGTGTTGGTACCATTCAGAAAGCTACAGCCACTGTGCCAAAGCTGTGGACTCCAGCCAGGGTCCAGGGTGGAGCCTCCTGGCCAAGGCATAGCCTCCCTCGACAGTGGATGGTGTGGGGCTGGGCATGCAGCTTGTGGCTGGTGGGTGAAGTACTGGTGAGTGTCCCAGCCACTGATGGGCAACAAGGAAGCCTGCGTCTCTAAACCCCACTGGTGACCAGCCTACAGTCAGAGGATGAAGCCAGCCCTGAGGAGGAGCAGAGGAGCCCAGAGCTTAAGGACGGCTTTGAGCAGGTGGATCTCTCCACCCTGAGTCTAACCTTCCTCTCACTGTTTGAACAAGACTGAATTGAACTTTTGGCTATTTCTAGTTGAGCAATTTAAAGGATATGGTTATTCCATATTTATGAAATATGAGTAGAATACAGTCTACATACTCCTTGGACTTGGGCCGCATCCGTTGCAAGTCTTGTGGAAAGTGCGCCAGTACTGTTTCTATGATCATCAAACCAGCTCACGTCCTGCAGTACAAAGCATAAATATGAGTTAGCTCCAGATGAACACAAGCAAAGAAAATCAGCAAACACTCCCACAGCCTCCCTGCAGAGCGAGTATACATGCTGAAGTTCAGGAGAGACCCCACTGCTGTGTGGAACTCAGGGCAACCGTGGCCTTGGTGTAGAGCACCTCCAGCCTGACTCTGGCAGCCCTCTGGAGAGGGGACGTCTCTGGAGGGGGTTGTCTGCCACCAGCTTCTCTGAGGCTGGACCCATGGAACCACTGAAGCCTGACCCTGCTGCCTCTGCCCTGGCATCATGCCTGCTGCCCCATAGCAATGCCCTTCCTGGGAATTCTAGGCAGGAGAAACATCCTTGGCTTCTTACTATGCTTTTGCTTTGTTCAAACAAGGATTAAATGCCTATCTTTGGTTTTAAGTATAAACTACTCATTCATAGTTTCTTTTACTTTCATATAAAACAATTTTCCTTACATAGGAAAAATTCAAAAGATACTGAGAAAAGATTTACAACTCCGACTTGCTCAAAACATCATACCTGCTCTATGCCCCCGGGTGGACAGGCATGTAATCAGCTGTTACCTGGATGTCCAGTCTGGTCCTCTATAAAAATCAGAAGTCACATCTGCACACTTTCCTCCCTTTCCTGCAGTGGAATGTGAGCTTACAGAGTGGGCAGAGAACAATTTCGGTGTACCAGCACTCTGGTACACAGAAATGTCCAAATGAATTGTGTCAGTTAATGTGGAGAGAGTGCTCACATAAGATGGAAACACCACTGTGGCACCTGGAGGCACCTTTGGCCTGTGTGGTCAAAGCTGGTGCAAGAACATGAGACAGAAGGGGATGGCCGGGCTTTGACCACCTGAGGGAGAAGCTTACAGGTCGAAGTAAGAGGAGTAAATTAGCCACAAACTAAGTAAGCTGCTTGCTGTGCTTGGGACAGGAGGATGAGATGGGCGGGAGGCTGGATGGATGAGCCTGATGAGAGCTGGGACCCTCTGAAGGGTGGAAAACTGACTCTCATGTCACTGGTGTGTCATCAGTCTCCTCCATGAGAGGCACATGACACATTGGAAAGCACAGTTCGGACTATATGCAAATTCATGCCTGTGTAGTAACAGAGCTCATCCTGTTCAGAAGCCCTTGCCTTTCCTTTAAAAAACTGTGAAGTGACATTCCTTCAGGATCCCAAGGAGTGAGTCCTTCGCAAGGGATCCAGTGTCCCTGGAGGAGCAGACTGCCAGCTGTGGCTCAGTCAGCTCTTCCCTCTTTCCTGGGCTGCCTATGGGACAGCCAGCTTTATTTACTTTTTCCTATGATAAATTTTCCAATGGAATCTTTTGTCTACAAATTCATGTTATTGCCTTTTTATTTCCATAATTGCTAAAACAAAAACCCACTTCTGGTGAAAGGACCAGCCTCCTCCCCGCCCAGATGCCTTTGTGCAAAGGCACTCCCCAGCCTCTGAGGACAGATCAGGGCCTGTGTCTGTAGAAGGATGCATCCACAGATGGAGAGAGCTGCAGGAGAAACAAGAGGCTGCTGAAATTAAGCCCACTTCCATGAACACGCTGAAGAGTCTGGGAATGCGAGGCCTGAGATAACCCACAGGATGCAGCTCAGGCCTGTCACAGGCTCTCTGAGGGAAGGTGCACAGCAGAGGCCACAGAGGAAGAAGAGGCTTCAAGTGAAAGAAACCCAAGCCCAACACCCACCTGTCTCAGCATCGCCTTAAAAGCCATGGACCGCAGCCTCATGGTGAGGATCTCGCCAGCTTTCCCAAATGTGAATCCCTGAATGAGAAAGATGCTCATGTTGCCACACCTGACGCAGATGCACACACGTTCACACCGAGTTCACGGCACTCTACGCCAGCCAACTACTCCGGCAACAGCCTAGGACCAGAGTCCAACTCAAAGCTCCACATCCGAGTGGCTGCATTCTCACAGCAGCAGTACACTACGTGTTGGAATAAGATAGAAAACCGAAACTCTCCAGTTTGGGCTTCTAAACCATTCCGAGCAGGTTTATGTTTTCAAACTTTCAAGCCTAGCACCTCGGGGACAAAGACACCTCACTTAGCTACAATTATGAGTTGAAAGCAGAAGTCACACAGCTCTGTGCAGGGGCACAGCGAGAGAGGTTCCACCTCGGCTTCTCTGTCTCTGTCTACTCTCGATTGGGAACCAGTGGGCTGCGCTTCCTCCCTGCCCACCATCACCCTTCTGCTGGCCTGCCAGGCCTGCTGTGGGGGAACAGAGATGGACATGCTACTCTCCCCTCTCCTGCTGCACAGGGCTGGGCGTCAGTCCCTGGCCCCACACCCACTAAGATGCCACTCCCCGACCTGGCCAGTTCAGGGCCGCACTGATCCCCGAGGTGCTCCGAGCAGAGCTGAATTCTCAGTGAAAAGCTTGGTTTCCTGGGCACTGGCTCAGCAGTGATAAAAGAAGTACAACTGGGCATGACCAGGAAACGGTATTTCATTGACTTAATGAGAGGACTTTGGACCCCGATGTCCAGAGATTAAGGCAAAAGAAAGCTGATAGTCTTATTAGAACAAGGGGAGCCAGCTTAGCACCACTCTGGTCTGTAAAGCGGAACGTATAGTGTGTGTTCTCTCCAATAGTTAGTCATTACACAGCCCCAGTGCAGCAGTCACTCAAACTGGCTGCCCCAGCACAGCACTGCCCGCATGTAGCCAGCTGCATCTAAGTGGCCAGCTGGCCTCCCAGCCATCATCCCTCTTCTGGTGACACTCCTGCTGCAGGCGGCCCTATGCCCTGGGACAGCCCAGGGCTGCCAGCCACCCTGTGGCGGAGTCCGCCCTCCGCCAGAGACGAGCCGTCTGTCTCTGCAGCCTGCTCTGGACACTCTGGTTCTGCTTTCCCTAAGTGACCTGCAGGCTGTGCAGGGCAGGTAATGGTGCTTACCTGAAGGAAAAAAGTGAAGAAAGAAATGACCCCAAGGCCCAGGAAGAGCAGAGAGAACATGTTGCACTTGTGCTGCTTCACCGAGTCGTCCCCTGTTCCAAAAATCTGTGAAAGAACATTCACAGAGCCCATGTCTCAGCTACTTTTCATTTGTTCCTGGGACAAAATACCCAACACCCACATTTAAGGAAGGAAAGGGTTTATTTAGCTCACAGTTTGTGGAGGTTTCAGTCTATACTCAGCTGGCTCCCAGGCAGCATGGGACACGGCAGAGAGCAGCAGTTCATGACAACAGAAAACAGTGAAGAGCAAAGGGAAGGGCAGCAGCTGCGCCTGCTAGCCAGCTTCTGTCCCTCCTTGTACTATGAACAAGCTGCCCTGGGGTGTAGAACTCACACAGTGTCCACGCCCTCCTCTTGCAGAGGATGAGGATGTTCACAAACTAAGAACCCTAGCTTTCTGCTGAGTCACTTAATGAAACTTCTCAAGTTGACATGATGTATCAACCAGTACAGCCCACCTGGCTACTACTCCACCCATCCTTTCCTTGTGATTCCTCCCCAACAATGGCTTGAGGGGCACACTGTTGATACTAGGTTTTGAATATGTGAGGTTTTAAAACTGTGGTCAAATGTACACAACTGAAATCGCTGTGTACGGTGTACCCATTGTAAGTGCACAGCTCAGAGTAAAAGCCTCTCTTGCCCTCCCTTCGGCCCTCATTATGACCTCAGTGCTGCTTCCTGGCTCTGGGAACTGGGGGGTTGTGGACCTCCACATAGTGTTGGCCCTCTTCCCCTTGCCCTCTCCTCAAGACCAGCCCAAGTACCCCTGCTGAACGTGCCCCTTCGCCGCTCCCATATCCCCCGGCCCTGTCTTTGAAGCACTTGCTATCTCTCTACTGTCAGAGATCTGTTCCTGGCCTGTACGCTGGGTGACAGTCTCAGCAGGGTGCTGCTGGAGGGCAGATCTTGGCTTGTTCTGCAGGCTGCTTAGGTCCAGTGCATAAGGGCAGCACTGGGCATACTGGACATGAGCCAAGTATGAATGCAGCCACACAGCTCTTGGACTGCAAGACAGCCAGGATGGATTTTCTTTGAAATTTAGTAAGATTCAGAGGGTGCTTTCTAAATTTTTGAATGTTTTGTCTTATGATCTTCATTGTAGATTAGTATCTTGTGTCACAAGAATAACAAACTCTTACAGACATAGAAAAGAAGTCATTCTTTCTTTTCTTTTCTTTTCTTTTCTTTCTTTTCTTTTTTCTTTTTCTTTTTTTTTTTTTTTGTGGTACCGGGGATTGAACTCAGGACCTTGTGCTTGCTAGGCAAGCACTTGTTCTACTGAGCTATCTCCCTGGCCCAAGAAGCCATTCTTAACCAGAAAGTCTCTCCAGTGAGTTGGAGCCTAGCCAAGGTGGTCATACAAGAGGGTTTTCTCCTTGGCAGAGCAGCTCGTCTGGCTGTCTTCCTGCAAATGTCTCCCGGGAGTGTAAAGGCTGGTAGCACGGGTGTCCCTTCTTGGTGCCAGGTGCCCAGGCCTGGGGAGGCTGCTGAAGCAGGTGTTGGAGCTGTTGCTTGAGTGCACACCCCAGGCAGATGCTTTTACACGCTTTCCATGTCGCTGTCTCTACCTGCTCTTAGCCCTCAGCACCCTACAGCTGGGCTGTCTTGTAGATGAGGAAGCTACAGTACAGTAGGAGAATGCACCGGCCTGCTTGCCACACACTCAGGGACCAGGCCGGGCTCTTCTGAGTCTGGGTTCACTGTGTGCTCTGCCTTGAGCCCTCGCACTGCCCTGGCGTCCCACTTCCCCCCAGGGATGCAGTCATCAGCCTGCCCCAGATGAGGGCCATGGCCTCACTCAGCTTGGCCCAAGGGAACAGGGCCACTTGGGCTGTGTCCTCACCGCCTTTGTGCTGTGTGCCTCACTGACAGCAGAACTCTCAGCAGCTCAAAGGCTACTACTTCCTTTCCCTTACACCTTACCTCCAGAGGGGACTAAGGATTTTGGTTTAGTTTAATTTGAGCTGCTTAACCCCAAGATGGAGCACACTGGGCAGGGTCTGATTTAATTCAAACTGTTACAGAGCATTTTAAAACTCACTGCGATCATCTCAGAAAATATGATGGAAAATGCTGGCTGCAGCGCTCCGTTGGCAATGGCGCAGACTGTCCCCACCACAAAGTAGGGCCATTCGGTTTCACTGAGTTTCAGGACCTTCAGAAAAGATGCTGGCGGCACATTGTCATCCTAAAACACGTAAAAGTCAGAACCAGATAGTGGTAGCATGACCATTACCGGAGTTGGCAGACACAAACAAGGCTTCGCCATTGTCCTCCATGACAGGGAGCAAAGCCTAGAGAACGGGGTGGCATCTCACACGATTTGGTGATGCCCAGCCCGAGCCTGCGCAGGCTGAGCACCTGCAGGCCGCCTTCTGCCTCCATCCCTGCCTCAGCAGGTTGAGAGGCAGCCAGCTGTCCCAGAGTCTGGTCATAACTCTCAAGGTCATGACTCAGACTGGGTGGTGATGGGGGTGCCATGCACGTGGCTGTCCTTTCCTTGTCATAGTGCAAAGATGCAGCCTTGCTCTTCACACAGGGATGACACCTGGACCCAAGGAGATGCTGCATGACAGGTGCATGATGTCTTCACAAATACAGGACATCACCACCCCCAAAGAGCAGCACCTGGGCAGCCTTTCCTGTGATGTGCTACCAACTCAAAAGCCATACTGTGACTCCCCTTTGAATCACTCTTCCCTGAGCAGACTTCTCACATTTCATGGTTTTGTTTTGTGTTTTTGTTGTGTTGCCTGCATAGTTTTTTTCAAGTATGTGAGCATATTTTAAAAGAAGATCATGTCTTTATATTCTTAGAAATGAACCCAATTCCTGGCACATATCAGACCATTGACAAATGCTGAACTAAGTGTCTAGTCAAGCATGAAGTACACGGGTCTCATGAAGAGGCGTATTCTGACTACAGAGCAGCTTAGCGTCACACTAGAGACAATGGTGGATATGCGCCCACAGGCCTGAGGTAGTTTAGGTTACATTTGTGTCATGAAACACAGAACACAGCAGCAGGTTCTACCCAGCCCTTTGCTTTCAAATTAACCATGTGCCTGTACTGGAGGAGTTTTTCTTTCCTAGCTAACACTTTTCGAAGTCCTGGTTTCCGGGATGGTATATGGGCTTCTTCAGCGCGCAGACAGGTATTCCAGGGGTCTGACTTGACCTGTCCCCATCCTCTGGCCAGTATTCATCCCCATTAGGACAGTCTTGCTGATGATGGCATATGCTGCCTCCCTAGTCTGTGCATTTCTTCACGAGATGTGTTCTAAAAATACTGGATTTAAAGTTTAGCAAAGTAACTCTCAAAACACATGAGAAAATGAAAACTGGATAATTCCATATCCCAAATGGGGTCTGTTGCTTGCCTTACTTATGAATAAAGAAACTCCATAATAGTACACCTATTCTTCTTTCTGTAAATATACCAAAAATAAGACTTCTAGGAACCCCCTGACATTTTCTGCGGCAAATGACATAGTAGGCAGGCACAGGAATGCAACAAGCTCTCAGTGAGGTTAGGTTCTTCAGGTCAGCTCAGAGTGAAATTCACTCAGCTCTGACCAACAAGGAGCACCAAGGTACACTAAAACCATAGCTTCTTAAGAAATTTATTGGATACAGGGTCTTGCTGTGCAGTTCAGACTTGAAGTGACCCTCCTGTCTCAGCCTCCCCAGTGGTGGGATTGCAGGCATGTGTGTGCCACCATGACCGGTTTTGGTGGCTGGCATGGCATGTGGTAGCAGGGATCAAACTCAGGTCCTTGCACTTGCCAGGCAGGTGCTTAGGCCACCAAGCTCTCTCCCCAACTTAGAGCCATATTTTGAGATGAGAAAATATCCTTTCTTGAGATTGAGTCCTGTCTTATAAAATTATTTCACCTCAGTTAATATACTCAGGCAAAGGATATGGAGAATACACAATTTCACTACCTTTTCTGGCCATTGCTTTTCTTAGCGCAGTCCCATCTGACTCATAGTGTTAGTGCATGTGCCAAAAAGATGCAGCACCCACATGCCCAGAGGCTCGTTGTGGCCACGGGCGGGGTTACGGAAGTAAGAGGACAGGGGGCAACTCCCGGAAGGTGTCAGTGCTCTTCCTGCTGTTCACAGCACAGACAGGTGGTGAGAGCTGCAGCTGCAGCCTTGGGCTGCAGTGTGACCTCGTGGCTGGAAGACGTGCGCCCAACAGTGCGGACGACAGGGAAAGGGGTTGGTGTCTCACGAGCTGCAGCCGCCACTCGAGGCCTGAGCTTTTCACCTCTCATGTTTTTATGTGAAGGAAAAATAAAAACTCTCAATTTGCTTGAACCCACACTATTCTGGGTTTCCTAGTACACACAATTCAATGGCACCCTTGTTTGGAGCATCTCAACATCAGGCCATTTCATCTGCGGCTAGCCTGTAGACTACAGAGGCGAATGGAACATTTAATTTTCATATTAAGCACCTTAGCATAAAGAGCACACTTTTGATTTGGAACATTAGGTAGCCATTTTAGTTGTAATTTATTTTAATTTACTGTTGAATGCACTAATATGGGAAGCATGTGTGTGTGTGCTTGTGTTGGGCTGGAGTGCAGGACTCACACCAGTGAGGCAGGTCCTCTGCCAGTGAGCTGAGCCCAGCCCCAAACTTGCTTTTTCCCTCAAAAATATGAGGGATCATCCTAGGAATCATCTGTGCCTAAAAATTCCGTGCAGGCCGAGAATTTCCACAGCGAGACTGCAACATAAAGACACCCTAAGTGGAAGAAGAACTTACAAGTTCAGTGGTCTCTGCATTGAGGCTGTTGTGACACATTTGCGAGCTTTTGCGGCTTTGGTTAGTAGAATTCCTAAATATTCGAGATTTCCAGCCATTTGGGGCCATGCCATGAACAGCCTTTGCTTCGTTTAGTTCAGGTTCAGATTCTGACTGGATCTGGTTGCCTGATGTCTGAGAGAAAAGCATGATGTTAAATTGTGTGTTATGTCAAGATGGATGTGTCCTCCAGGTTTAAAATCATAGAACCATGTTGAATATTACACATATCAGGAGTTTTAGATTCCATAACAGCTCTAAGTTAAGATTAGCTGGAAAACTACGAAGTCTACCAACCCACAGGAAAAAAATCACATGTTTGCCTGTCTGTGTAGGATGCTTACTGCTTAAACTTGTAACAGTCTTTCACGGTAGATTTAGTATTTCAAATGCAGAGACTGAAGTTACTTGTCACGAAATTAAGCAAAGTTTTGACTTATTTTTCTGGCTCACTTGTGCTCACAGAGACAATATTTAGAATAGAGAAATGCTGGAAGCCCACCAAGTATGTAACATTAGAGAAATGACTAATACCACATTATTTATAATTATTCTTAAGTAATTCAAATGATAGCATTCAAATGATATATATCTGAAATATTAAAGAAAACACAAAAATATATAAGTATATACTAATTAGAGACCCAGAAAAACAGATGTATGTGCTCTTACAAGCGGGAGTCATAGTTGCAGAATAAAATGTTTTAGGTTATTTGTTCTGCTAAGTTGCTCAAGACAAAGCACAATATACTCTCTTGCTAATAAGACAAGTTAATCATTGTCAACCTAACCAAAGATGACCAAACTGCAGGCTTCCCAGAGCCACAAATCTTGCTGCTGCTCTTTTCTCAGTGAAGCAGTTTGAGGTCCCAGGGACCTCTTCCAGCACTAGAGACCCTGGCGTTGTCATTCCTGTCCTCCTACCTTCAGTCCTCCCTGCCTAGGGTGGAAAGGATCTGTTAGAGTGCGTGTGTTCTTTGGGCAGCGAAGACCCGTCCCGAGGTACACCAGGGTTTCGGGCACTTCGCGTATCTCCTGCCTGCGTCTTTCATAGACTCTTTCACTGATTGTGAACTAAGGTCCCAGATACGTTCTTCACTTTTAGGCCTCGTCCTAATTTTTATTGGCCTGCACAAGCTTTGCTGCACCCAATCTTAATGGTTTGAACAATAGCGTGTTGAGGGACAGATTGCAGGGAAAGGCCCAGGGAGGGATACCTGCGCGCTGACCAGTTTGCAGTAGAGCCCTTCTCTCCTCATCAGCTCACAGTGGCTTCCTTGCTCTACAATGACCCCGCCCTCGAGGCCGGCGATGACATCGGCGCTGCGGACTGCAGACAGGCGGTGAGCTATCACAATGGTGGTCCGGCCTTTGCGGGCCTGCTGGGGAGAAGGGGAGGCTGTGGAGATTCGGGCTGTGGGACCGGCACACTGCCACTGAGCACACACGTCTGAGCCCTCACGTGCACGCTGCTCCTGTCGGAAAGAGGCGCCCACACCTTGCCGCTCTCTGACTAGGCACCCACATCACTCTTCCACTGAAGACTGAAGGAAATAATTCAGTATTTCTAGTTTAGTCCTGGTACTAAAATAAACCCAGATGAATAAACCTTGCTTACATAAATGTAAAAGAGCAAAACAACAAAAAGGGAGAGGCTAGAACCTAGCACACTTGGACAATATTTGAATTAGTCTTTGATTTTAAGCACGTCAGCCCTGAAGCAGCACTTTCAAATACTTACTCATACAGGTTGTATGACTGAGTTCTCATATAATGCATATGAAAAACAATTTGATTAATCTAATTATTCATAATACTAATCCTGATGAATGAATTTCTAGCAGTGACCATTGTGACAATATTAGGGTGACACTGTCAACAAATCCACACCGAGGAGGTAGAAGCAGATTTGGGAGTGAAGGTTGTATAGGATGAGCACAGCATAAGTTTAAAAACTAGCAACTGTCGCCCTTGTCCAAGAAAGTAAAAGTATGTTTTGATACAAATCCATTTTTTCAGAGCTTTCAGACATCCCGGTAATGGCAAGACAGTGGCAAACAGATATCCTACATTCATCCACAACTGTAAAGAAGCTTGTTGCTCTAGAATGCAGCAGTATGGCTGTGCAGGCGGGTACGAACTTGGTGATTATTTCCTTCTTTTGCTTTTTTTTTTTTGTACTGGGGAATCAAGCTTGGGACTGTGTGCTTGTCACACAAGCACTTATGCCATTGAACTACATCCCCAGCCCTATTTGCTTCCTTTAAAATACCAAAATAGCAAATTTTCTGTTTTCAATAAATTGTATGAAACTACAGAAAAGCTGTGCTTTAAGCTGCTGCAGTTGGCTGCAGCAGCATGAGTGGCGCGCTCCAGCGCTCCGTAATCAGACACTAGGGTACACCCTGCAGGAGGCGGCTGGGAGGGAGGTGGTGCCACCTCCAGGGCACTCCGAAGGAGAGGAGGTTGTCACTAGAGACTGAGAGGGGTTGGGGCACCTAACTTGGGGAAACAACTACAGCTGCTTACTGTCCCAACTCAGAGGAGATGCATTTCATCTAACGAACTTGTACATTTAAAGTAGAGACATAAAAGGTCACCAACCGAGCGTGTAGTAACCCTGCAGAACACAAAGAAATTGCTGCAGCTGAGTGACTTGTGCAGACATTGACAATAACTGCATGGCCACCATGTCTTGCAGATGTATCACAAAAGGCAGCGAGCCAAATAATTCTATTCCTTTAGCACAGCAAATGCTGATATCTTGAATATCTGTGTCCTGGCAGGGTTGGAACCTGTGCTCTAGAGTTTATGAGAACTTTAAAAAATTCTCCTGGCATGCTGAGACAGAGATTGAGACTGGGTGTGGTGATGCACGCCTGTAATCCCAGCACTTGGGAGACTGAAAACAGGAGAATCACTGTGAATCTGATCTACATGGTAAGACCCTGTAGACCCTATAGACCTTATCCTAAATACAAAAAAAATCCTCTATTTTAGAAATAT